TTTCTCTGCATGTCCCCCCCTTCCTCGAGCCTCGAACTCCCCCCTCCCTCCGCCCCAGTCTATCGCATCTCATTCCTCGTCATTCCATTTTATATCCGAGATGTTCGCAACCTGCAGCACAATCTATAGGCGCCTTGTGAGACGTGCCAATGCTCGAACTTCATATTGTGATGCTAATAATATAATCTATATTTTAGATAGAAAAAAATTTGCAGCAAACAAACAAGCTGCTGTTGACTCAAATTCACGAGTCCTTGACTTTTGTCGTTGAACTTACGTATGAGATTGGGGGGAGGGAGGGGATATTAACCGCCTTATTCAACCGATGATCATGGACAGATTAGGCCTGTATTCAAAGAGGTTTGTAATGGAAATATTATAGAAAATGTAATGTCGTAGAATATTACAGTAGTCCTACATTGGGTTGCAAAATTCAAACTGAAAAGCTAAAGTTAAAAACATTTTTTTTAAAGAATAGGCCTAGATCTAGATTTATTTACAATCACAACCATTATAATATAGCCTAATTATTATTTTAGGTCAAATTAGATAAATTACGGATACCACCCTTCAATTATCAATATATAAGTGTTTTAAAATCTCCCTCAGCAGAGGGGAAAACATTTCACACCTATATCTAGATCTAGATCTACATTTAAATAATTTAATAATATTCAAGTATCAATTCACCGGGGATTAACGAGGGTCACAGAATTCTATACTTAGTGTAGACACAGCAAAGATACTACAGGCTGTACTAGGGCCTATCTTTGGACACAGTACAGTCAACCAGAGACATTGCAGTCAACGCCGCTTCGTTTGTTTTTGTCACGTGATATGGTGTACTTGGCGAGGAAACTGAGGTCAATCAACCGGTGGTTGCAGCATTCACTTTTGCCGAGGTCGACCAACGATGGAGTCTTTCGAGTGTGATGTTGTTGTTATCGGGGCAGGATTGTCAGGGCTGTCCGCTGCTTTTTATTTATGGAAAAAAGACAGAGGTCTCAGAATTGCAATAGTTGAAGCCAAAGGTAAGCGATCCATGTTGTGTTCTAGAATCTAGATAATTATAGAATCCGTCCTTAGACCCTACTCTTTTTAATTTTTACACACAAAGCTTGATTGAAAGATTCTTCTAGATCTAGGCCTATCGGCGCTGATGATTGTCGAACTGAAATGAGAACGAGATGTAGGCCATCTAAGCCCAGACGCATGTGAACAGGTCACGTACGCTTAGCATTCACATCGCCGAAACAGTGAATACGTGTTGTTGGTGGGGTTTTTTGGGAGGGGGGGGGGATTTATGATCTCCTTTCCTTTATGATCACATGTGTCACCGTTTTATATTGGCATTAGTCATTAGGCCTAGAATCTATAGATCTAGGGTAAAATCCAAGCAGACCGGGTCAATACAATGCAATACAGTAGTCTCTGCCTAAGATCCTGGTGCTCGGGAGCAAGGAAATGCGGGATCTTAGACGAACCGGGATCTTAACCGACGAACCCAGGGAAGAATCTATGGTGACCCATGTTAAGGCTCACAATCGGTAAAATGGTCTCCCTTCCCTCTACAATGAGCTGATGTGCCCCCTTGGTTGGTGGGTTTATGGCGTATGGCGAGCAAAGAGTGGTTAACCTTGATGACCTATCACGGTGCATAGTGGGACGAGGCATGCCATTTTCACTTATTATCCTATCATGAGTCTCAAGATCTACGCTTATCCAGTTGCCCCTCCCCTTTACCACATTTCTGACCCAGTCCCCCCCCCCCCAAACAAAAAAAACCGCCTTTGTCGTTACACACCATTACGTTGTGAACACACCAATTAAAATTCAGTCTGTTTTGCAAATTCGGGAGTAGAGACAACTGCTGCAATGGTCAGGGAAGAGTTCACGGTACGATGTGATTCCGCCTGGAGCGAACGTGTAGGCCCTACCCACCCAGCGAGTGATGCAAATTTAGGGGGAGAGCTCAGGTGTGAGTGCGATGCGTGGGGAAAACAAACGCATCGGTTAGTTCACACCCCGGTGTGATCCCGTCTGAGGCAGACATTGTATCGCTTCATTGAGTTTTACAACGTGTGTGGGATCACATTTACGATAGTGGCTGATCTTTGATGCAACGTACAGTTTATTGATCTCAACTTTTCACAATTGGTTGATCGGCTGTGCCCGCCCGGGTTTTTGTTTCGCAAATTATGATCTGAAATGCGGGATCTTAACCGAATGTAGACCATCAGAGCGGGATCTTAGGGGTGACTTTTGTATAGTAAAAATTCTGTTTTCTTAAAACAACGGGATCTTAAGCGAACCGGGATCGTAAGCGGTGGGATCTTAGGCGGAGACTTCTGTAATAGAGAAAAATCGGGAAAAATATTAATACGCCAGCAAAAGTGTTAATTTCCCTCCAAAATGAGAAAGAAAAACTATTAACCACTTAACAATTAAAACTCTTTGTACAATATCCATTCAAAAAACATAATTTGAGTTCTAAATACGATATAAAAGCACTCACTATGTCCAAAGTCGACTAAAGAATCTGAAAATCCAATCGAATGTCCCTGCATGCGCCATCTTTGTTTACATCCTCCAACAAGTATTCGTACGCGTGTTTGACCAATCACTACAAATGGAATACTCCCCTAGTCATTGTAATAGCTCATTTAATAAAATGTGTGTATAGTTTGTATTTTACTCACGGTTATTCAACCCCTACCCCTACTCCAACCCCTAGATCTGCCCCTACCCCTAAATACCCCTACCCCTAGATCTGCCCCTACCCCTCAATTCTGCTCTGTGCCCTCAATACCCCTACCCCTACCCCTACCCCTAGATCTGCCCCTACCCCTAGCCCTCAATTCTGCTCTGTCTCATAGTGGTCGCTCGTTACGGAAGTCCTCAACACATGAAGGTCAAACACAGTAAACACCATTATGGTACCAATACAGAAACTAAAGCTTGGCACCAATGCAGAAACTAAAGCTTGGCGTGAGTACTCACGCTTTATATACCCTTGCCCTATTTACATGCGTTGATTAGCGTCATTGTCCTAAATATTGCACCTCTTAGCGTCATATAACTCTCATCATTAATAAGGTACCATAAACAAAGCCTTAATAAGCCATACATTGATTTTTATTTACTCCTCTTATGATTGTTTTTCCCCATATAAGAATGTAACATCAAATATTTTCTTCACAATGTGATAGCATATAACATTCTAAATCCATTACATGCACAAAAAAACTTTTCTTTATTAATTGTAGCTAGTTAAACAGCAGATAACTACTATCTCACACAATCATAAGATATTGACCTAATTTAACTAATGGTACTATTACAGTTACAGAATAACAGATTTGACCAGAAGTAGTTCCGGAGAGAGTTCCCAAGTCAGCTAAATTTCGGGAGCAAAAAGTAGTTCCGACCCAATCCGTAAATATTTTTTTGCAATCCTTAACGAGCATTTCAAGTTCTCATTTCAATTTCCCGAACAGCTAAAGTTACACTTTAGCGCTTTGTGGGGTCGCTCAATTAATTTTTTCCGAAAACGCCAGTTTTTGTCTTTTTTGTCCAATGCATTCTATATAGGGAGCCATCCCTTCTATTTATAGCCGTAATATAATCCTGAAATCCCCGCGCATTCATCGGCCGCGATGGGGCCGAAGGCCCCGCTGACCCGATCTGCTTGGATCCAGCGAGATCTAGCTCTGTAAGTAAAAGTCGTGGGTTCATGAGATAAAACAGCTTTGTTACACTTGTGGGACTTGGTAATCAATTGAATAATTGAATCAATGTTATGACTATGACAATTACAAGTAGGTAGCGTCCATTGTGACCGGATGATCCGGTCGGAACTGACACTGCGTCAATTGTGACAGGATCATCCACAATTCAGGCAGAAGTACAATAGTATATATAAATGTTGAAACGATGGCTACTAGATTTCTAGATCTAGATTTCTAGATCTAGTACTGGCGTTTCAAATAGCATGGGAGCTATTCAGAACACAGCATTGCAAATAGCGCCTACCAAATATATTCGGATAGAGCTGGCCAAAGTCCCAAAGTGCACGGTAAGATTGAAAGATACCGGACCAGCGGATGACTACCTCTGCCTGTCTTGACAACCTTAGGAATTCATGATTTTCACTAGTTTTTAATCTCTCTCAATGAAGAATTTCAGACCGGTAGCCTAGATCTATTCATTAGCAGTTTGTCAGGGGGGAGACCCCCCCCTCTACAACCATAGTCAAACACTGGCATGAATTTATTAAAGCAGCATTCTCGCGCAATAGTACGAGTGGTCCGGTATTCTTCAATCTTCCCAAGTCAGCTGGCGAGGGAAGCCCCCGGAAGACGACAAAAATAGATGGCGGAAATACGTCTTCTACATTTGAGCCAAAATGTGAAAACCGACTTTCATGAAAGAAGAGCTGCGTACTATGTCTCCGGTCACAATTGATGCAGTGTCAGTTCCGACCGGATGATCCAGTCGCAATTGACACTACCTTACAAGTAGGCTAATATTAGTGTTATTAGTAGGCCTGCCACTTTAAATAAAAACATCCAAGTCTTTGCTGTCCTGATCAGGTGAAACATAAGCCTTCTTTTGGTACTAAACCTAAAAGTGACGATATATACGTCACTCATCCCTCATTAAATTATGATAGTTCTTCATCTTATGAAAGAACTACCGGTAAAAGAGACCTGTTTTTGGTCATTGGGGAAAAGTGATTTGATGTTAAAGACTTCGTAAAGGCATGTTACGAGCTGCTGCCAGCGGCTCACATACAGCGGTTCGCCAACCCGAGCTGCTGGGAGTACAGTAGCTTCCCAGAGATAAGGTGTTAATGAATTTCTGACTTATTTTTAGTTGTTTTATAACCATAGTCAAACACTGGCATGAATTTATTAAAGCAGAATGAATTCTTGTCAAAGCAGGCAGATAAGGTATGGCCAATAGTAGAATTATAGTACATGGTTTGAAAAAAAATAGAGGTACCATATACACATAATAAAAAGTCCTCAGTGTGCTGAGCATGAGGATTTTTGTGTGTAAAATATGGTACAAAGTGTAATCTAATAGAGATTGATAGCCTACTCAAATAGATGGCAATTAAACTGTATGCTGTTCCACAGTTGCAGAATTTTGATCTGCTTATGTGTGATTAGTCGGTTTACTTTTTCCTTACCCTTTCACTTTTGTTCCTCAGACAGGATCGGTGGACGTACTTTGACGAGACAGATTTCTTCTGCTGATGGCACTAAAGACTTTTGGGATTTGGGTGGAGAATGGGTTGGCAGGTATGTAAAATTTGAACAGTAAGTGTCTGTAAGTTCCTTATGTGTGTAAAGTCTTGTTTCTCATTTATTAGCAATGCCCACCGAGCGCGTTTTGTTCTGCCGATTTTTGGCCCCCGCAGCGGGGGTGTTTCGTGGGACGCACTAACGCAAAGGTTGTTGTCTTCAACTCGCTCTCACGCCGCTTCTCGTGAATGGATATGAATGAAACTTGGCAGCCAATCAGAAAAGAGGTCAATCTCGTAGTATGCAGTTTGACAACATTGTACCCATCCTAGAAGCAGTCGAAAACATTTGCAAAAGTGGTTGATGTGGTGCGCTTTGAAGATTTTTCGGAGCTGTGATTTGTCAAACTGACTGATACGTTGTACACCATTTTTCTTTATTCCCTTAAAATTTCAAGCTTCTGTGTTTAGCGGTTTTCGCGTAATCTTTAAAAATGTGGAAGTAACTAAGGGAAAAAGCGACATTGCCATTTGCGCGTACTGGGTGAACGAACTGCTGCTGGGAAATTTCCACTGAGTGACGTCATCAGCCATCGGTCGCCTCGGGCGCTACAAACGAGGCCCCGCTTATGTGAACCGGAAAGGGGGGGAAGGATACTTGAAAACTAAACGGGGGCCTTGATAACTTGCGTTTTTGTTGCATTTTAGTCACAATACAATAGATGTAGTCATTTGTATTTGCTTGATTGCATGACAGAAGAATAGAAACAGAAAAGCAAACATCTTGAGAAGTGGTATGGCATTGTGTTTGCGTTATGAAAGCCTATTCCCCCCTCTTGGGAAAGCACACACTTGGACTCGTCCTGTGTGCTCTGTTTGGCAAAGTGAGGCATTAAGATTGTTATTAAAGAGTATGGTACTTATTTAGTCCAGTCTGGGAAGATAGTCCCGTTTATACATTGTTATCGTTCACGTGTGCGTGCGTGAGTGCGCGCGCGTGCATGTGTGTGTGTGCGCGCGTGAGAGAGAGAGAGAGAGAGAGAGAAGGGGGGGTGTAAATATGTTACATTTATTGTATGAGTAGTAGCCTACACATGCGAAATATTCCCATGACTTGTAAACTGTATTATCTGAACGCATCTTAATCTAACACACAATAGGACACTGTCCAACAATGGATATACACAGAGACGATCTTATTTTCTATAACAAAGTATGCACGCTTTTAGTAGTACAGAACTGGATTTATTAGTAGCTCTCTACTTACATTTTTGTGACAAATTGATCCAGAACATTGCTTGGCAAGGGGGAACCTTTTATGTTGCCAAGTTTCATTCAAATATCATGACTTTGGGAGAACATATGACTGATAATCTTTCTAAGTCTGTAAAGAATGCCACTTTTTTACCTGTTAATGTCTTTACAACTCAAAAAGTATGACAGATATTAAAAATCTGACAGCATGACTAGATTCTGCATTAAAAAATGTACTAGACTGCCAAGTTTTATTTACATATTCCAGGAAATAGGCGAGGTATGACAAATATTGTCTCAAAACGCGCCGAAAACTGCCACATTTTTACCTATAAACGTCTTCATAACTCAAAAAATAGGATAGCTATGAAAAATCTGAAAGCAGGACTAGATTCTGCACTACAAAATGTACTGGGTTGCTAAGTTTCTTTTAAATACTCCGAGAAATGAGCGAGTTATGGCGAATATTGTCTCAAAACTCACCAAAGAACGTCCCATATTTTGGGCTTTTTTCATTATATAAAAGTGTACCAGAAATTAATTGATTAAAAAATCTGTAACTTTTTTGTTTATTGATGGATTTCAAAAATTCAAAAAGTTCCATGCTCTGTGAAGATAAAGCTACAAAATACACCTATTTGCAAACACTTTCTGGCAAAAAAAAGGATTTTCGTGGTCATTGCTACATTTATTATCTATAACAATAGGTCTATATAGAAAATATATTTGTTATTGTTGGTTACTAACTACCTGGAGGCTAAAACACTGATTAAGTCAGCAATCCATGCCCAATGGAACGAGACTTAGCAACAACAAAGAAGAAAGGACCCAATCTACCAACTCCTAAGAGCCGACCAAATGATAATCTTCAGACCCCAGAACAGGACACAACAGGCTGAAGCATCACATGTTCTCCTGATTCAAGATTGGTGATGGACGCAACTGTCCTTGTGGTGCCAGCCGCTAAGATGCACATCATATTCTCCAGGAGTGCCCACTACTGGATACAGCAAGACAAAATACTGACCTCAGCCCAGGGACATGCATCTGAAGCTGTATGGCAACCTTCTCGACCTGGGAATCACTGTGGAGTTCGTGAACACTTCAGTCCTCACCATCTATCTACCATAAAGCATAAAGTATGAAGAAGAAGAAGTTGGTTACTCACAATACTCTATTTCTGTGTTTTTTCAAGACCTCATCATGAGATACTAACAGATGTTCTTTGCAGTACTCTAGAGTACTCTAATATGTATTATAGGTGAATATAAATGTGTGTGTATATATTATATGTGTGGGGGGGGGGGGGGGGGGGGCTTTCTTTTGCAGTGTGGCTGAAAATTTGGGAAGAATGACATGTTGGGAGGTCTTTTGCTGGCCTCTCCCACTTTGTCATCCCTGGATTGCCTTGTTCTAATTGTTGGTCAAGGGTCAGAGACTAGAGATTTAGCAGGTAGCCACCTGCTTAATCTCTACGACTTCCCAGTGTTTTATGATACTCAGTGCACATTACAGAGATAAGTTTTGTCAAGTTTTCATTTGGTTCATTTGACAGCGGGTAGCTTTTCCTTCATGGAGGTGCAAAAATTACCATTTTTGCAGTTTGATCAAATCCACCAAAATCTAACCATTTAAAGCACGATTCCTTTGATGAATACAACAAATTAGAAGGCTACAATGCAAAATAAGCGCTACCACTAATCGATCTGACCCAATTCTATTAGAGCATACAGATCGAGTTCATTTGACCAATGATCTTCTACTATTAGATGGATGCAGGATTAAATAATAGATAATGGATTAAAAAGTACAGAGAGCTTTCTTTTGAGTAGGATAAATGTGTTATATACATCAAATCCATGAACGCGTAGAGTTTTCTGTTGAGTGGGAATTTGTGCTGTACAAATGCAATCTATTATTATTATCATCAAAGTTATGAATATCATTTTTGTTATTATTTTTATTACTCAAATTTTCATTCACATTGTTTTGATATGTCCGGGTTTTTTCTTATTGCTTTTTGCCTTGATGTGATTAAATTTGTCTCACTGACCTCATAGTATTTTTCTATCTAATACAGACCACAGCCCCACCTGCACTATTTGTTGCGCAAATTCCACATCAACACATTCAACCCAGTTGCCCCTCAGGGTGGTTCTGAAGCCGTCAATGTTCCTGTCTTATCATGGCAAACACGACTGGACTTGATGCAGTTCACTTGGAAAGTGAGTTCTCTTTGTGATTCTATACTTCTGTTTTATTCCAATTGTAATTGTTATGTTCAGTTGTAAGACTTTGATTTTGTATTAACTGAATCTTTGTCTGTTACCTTTGTCCTCTGAAATAGAAAGCTATGAAAAGGAAACAAATGATATAAAATGTAACTGGGAGCTCCTCAGTGACCATTTAAAAATAATAAACAGTGTACAGAGTTTTAAAAGTACCTTCTAGCATGCTTGTAGTAATATTGGCAGGGCCCACCTGCAGGGAGCTGACATCTTTTTGTTATGTATGGATTTCACTATGTACATGTTTTATATACAAAGAATACACATGTTATAAGAAAAAAATTGAGACCTGAAAATGTGTTTGCTTTTTGCATGTTTGCTATGTACATGCTAGACTAGACATAAATGAGACGCTGGAAATAATCAAACATACTCAAATACATTTTTGCTTTTCAGTTTGTTGATCTATTTTATTCTAGAGATTGCGCTTAGGGGGCTCTCGTGGCGTAGAGGTCAAGGTGTAGGTCTCGGGTTTGAATCCGGAGAGCGACTGAACATTTTTTTCTCTAAAATTTTCTCCTTTCACATCCTTTCCTGATCTTGTAACAATATTCTGGTGTCTTGCTTTCGTCTCCACTTTCTGCCCCAATCCCTTCGCCACGTTTGCCCCCTCCTCTGGGCTCCTGACTCTTTCTGCAGCCTTTCTACTGCTACTCCTTGGATCCTTCTTACTGCTGTCTTTCCGCCACACCCCTGATCTTATGGTAGGAAAGATCTACACCTATCTGTCTCGGATTAGGGTGGAAAATCTTGGAGGCCCCGTGTGCAAGTTGTGCGTGTTAAAGATTCCTCAGTGGTCCCAAAATCGACAAGAGTAGGCTTCGGTTGCCACTCTGGCAAAATTCAAAAATTCCTACCAACTGAAAATGTGTCCCATGTGCTCATATGACCTTATGCAGTTGCTAGCGCGGTAAAACACTTACCAAAAGAAGAAAAAACAATTACGCTTACTGTCAGAAAGTATTTTTGTTAAGCTTTGTTGTCCGTGTTTTATAGTATTTCATATTTCTCCCCCCTCCCTTTACTACTCCATTGCAGTTGAAGCGGTTAAGGAAAAAACTTGCAGGAGGAGACCTAAAAAATTCCGTTCACGCACTTGTGTGGGATGGCATCAGTTTTGAGAAGTACAGAGAGGAAAACTTGTGGACTCAAGGTCTGTTTGTGTTGTACGTCTCTGAAGTTTTGTGTGCTTTTAAATTAATTAATTAATCCAGCATGGCACATAATGCCCCATGGGCATGTAGTAGTAGGTTGTGTAATTTTAATGTATGAAAGACAGGTCGTCTTTTCTTGTGATTTACTATTTCAGCTTTTGGCATCTGTCGTCTTGGGGAGTGCTTGAATTGTATTAAGATGTCTGTATATTAAATGCTTTTGCAATTAAAATCTGCTGATGAATGTAGAGATAACACCTCAACTTGTTAAAAGAAATGTCAAAGGTCAGGCAAGGGCAAACTATGGCTCACAGGTGGTTGGCGGGTGTTCTCGTGTGGTTTGCTCCTTCTTCCCTATAAAACGTCTATCGTCCTGATCTCTCCTCCTTCTTTTTTTGTGTTTGTTACTCTCTTGTAACACTTTTATTCTTCAGCACTTATATGGCTTTATTGTGTTGCAAGTGCCGTAACACTCGTACTAAAACTAAATGAAGGCTCAGGAGCAAGATCCTGCCTGCAAGTAGTTTGTGAGTTCACCCAATAATGAATGTGACTGCCAGCAAGTTTATGATTTAAAAAAAAAAAAAAAAAACCCCGGTAGCCTCTGTCTTGACTGCTGGTTTTTCAACCTGCAGTGCAACTGATGTTTATGTATATGACTGTCTTTCCTACCGATTGCGATTTTGAAGATACAGTTTGTATAGAGTGGGTGGTTGGCGGGTGCTCTGGTGTGGTTTGCTTCTTCTTTCCTATCAAACATCTGTCGTCCTTATCTCCCCTCCTTCTTTTTTGTGTATGTTACTCTCTTGTAACACATAATCTATTATTCTGCATTTATATATATGGCTTTTTTGTTTTGCAAGTGCCGTAACACTCTTTCTAAAAGTAAAACTGTAAAACTAAAAGTTTGTATAGATGTATTTTTTAAATTATTTATTTCTTCTTCCAGAGGCTAAAAATCTTGTGGATGCTGCCTGCAGATGTATGTTTGGTCTGGCCCCAGCAGAAATGACGTTGCTCTACTTTCTCATGTACATTAGGTCTGCTGGTGGTTTGCAGATATTTGATCGGCCAGGAGAGTATACTGGTGCAGAATGTCGGGTGAAGGTGAGTCACGTTTAAAATGTCACTTATCATACTAGTGGGTAGGTGGAGGATGTCACTGGCAGGTTAAATTGCCTGACTCTCCCTCTGTCCATCAATCTTGTCTTTGGCTTGCACTAAATGACCTTTATTGAGTCAATATGATTTTCTTTACTCAAACTGACACAAAGCAAACACTTATTTTTGTTCTTTGAAGGTTTAGTTGAATCATATCCCAACTGCTTTATCACAATGAACCCTATTTGAATTTATTCATGTTATCCTAAAAGCAAGCTTTTATTCAACAGGATTTCTTTATCTTGAATGAACCATTTTGTTAAAATTCTTTTAAAAATGCACAATACCATAAGTGAAAAGTTCAGTGAAGTCTTATTCATTTAAGGCCATTACAGGCATCTAAAGCAGATTTCGAATGGTCCACTGGAGAGAATTATAAAAATTGTCTTTTCTCATCTTAAACATAAAGGTAAAGCTTCTTTTCATCATCCTTTCAATTTTGTAAGAGAGAAATTATATTTGTCTTTATAATAACTGTTACAACTTAAAGTTGAAGATATTTTAAAATTCTTCCTGTCATTGGACATACGGTTTCATTTGTAGATTTCTTTGGGTACTTTATTATAGACTCTGTAAAATGACTCAGCTTTTTGCTAGAGTTTGTGTGGTAGATGGTTGGTGTTTTTTTTTTTTGTGGTTTGCTATTAAATACCTATTTTCTTATCTCTCCTCCTTTTTTCTGTGTTTGTGACTCTCTTGTAACACTTCTAATCTTCGGCACTTATATGACCTTATTGTATGGCAAGTGCCATAAAACTCTTACTAAAATTAAAAACTAAGAGTTAATGTGAAAGTCAAATAGTTAATACAGTCTCTTGCCTTGTTGTTTTGTTTGTAGGGAGGTGTCCATCAGATCTCCACTCACCTGGTGCACAAGATTGGGAAACGATTTGTTTACCTGAATCAACCCGTCTCTAATATAGTACAGGTGAGATGAGCTAATTGTTGTCAGTGTTGTCTGCTTTTTCACAAGTATCGCTGTTCTGTCGTATGCTTCCGGTTCTGTGTTGTTAGAATAAGGACTACTTTACCTGAAGAGTCCGTTTTGGATAGTCAAATTTTTAGTAATGTTCATGTCCATCCAAGAAAGAAGGAGCTGTCTCAGAGATGCAGTACACTTTTTGAAATAAAGGCTAAAAAAATGTGCATTACAAAGTTGACGCTTTTAGAAGATTTTTCAAGGCACTTATTGGCAGCCACTCTGGTAAATATATGCCTTTCTTTCTCTCGTTTCCTTTAAAGATGTAAGTGTTGATTTTTTTCATTATTTCCTTTGCAGTCCATAGAAGGCGCTCGTGTGACGACATCCAACAACCTTCAGATTCTTTGTCAGCGGGTTATCATGGCAATACCTCCTCATCATGCAGGTACTTTTATTTTTAAAAGGCTTGTTTCTAGTATAGGGAAAAGCAGAATTATGCCCAAAGTGCTTAAAACAAAGTCGGTCACGAAAATTATAAAACATATGACCTCTGACAGAGTAGCTGTTATGTTTTGGCAGTTATTACTTCAAATTGTTTGTGAACCATTACAAGTTTTAATGTTCATTGTTTTTCCAGTTGGCGTGCTTTCTTTGTAAGAGGATAAACACAGGTTTACCTTTTGGTAAATTAAATACTGAGGATTGTATCCTGTCATACAACAAAAGAAGAAACAATTTGGGTCCGTTTTCATTTTTTAACCCTTTGAGCTCTAGAAACCGACGGCATGTAGCATTGTTTGTATATCTAGCCACCGGTACACCGTTGAGCTAGACCCTTTCCCCAAACTAGCCTGCCTGGGACAAAATGTGCATGGAAAACAGTGTTTACTATACATGACGTTATATGTAAATTTGAAGATCTTTCTGAATTAGATGCTGGTAATGACGAGGACTACCCTGAGTAGGATATGGAATGTGATTCTGAGACAATCATATGAATGAAGGTGTAAATTGCGCTGGAGCTCAGGAGCTGAGGCAGAGGGGCATGGTAGCCTCAGGAGGTCAGGGCTCAAAGGGTTAAAGTGTTGTTTTATAATGGCAGGTTCTATGGGTAAGATTAAGAAGCTTCCCAAAGCAGGTAAAATCCAAATTGATCATGTATCTAATAGGCTTAATATTATAACTTCAAATCAGGATTCACCAGACTTTGTTTTAATTTTATTCCCAAGTATGTAACAGCTTTATCGAAAAGTTAAATTGTCAGGTCAATGTGAAATTTTTTGTTATTCTGTCTTATTGGCATACATTTCCTTTTGGTTATTTGAAAAGATCTCTCAAGAGTGTGCTTCAATAATAATTAATAATAATAATAATAATGATATATAACATTTATATAGCGCATTTCCAAAAATAGATTCCATCAATTCGGCTCTGAAACTTTGGTCTTATTTTTTTGGAATATACTGTATAAAAGTGTTAAAGAAGTAATTTTGTTTGGTAATTGTAAGGTACAGGCTAGCCTTGATAGGCAAGATCAAAGCAGACTGCTTTGCAAATGATCTGAATAATTTACATAGGAATGGAAACGTTTACCTTATAAAAACACACAAAAAACCCACCCTTCCCTTTTGGAGACTTGCTCTTTAAATGGACATCCCAGTCTCTAGCATGAAGGCTGCTGTTCACCAACTTCTCAATAACACCCTTTTCTAATGACCTCTTTTCAGCTGCTATTGAGTACCAGCCTCCCCTTCCTGCTGTGAAGCTAGGGTTGCTTCAGAGTGTGCCGTTGGCTTTCTTGGTCAAGTTTGCCATAACATATGAGGAGGTTAGTTCTGCCATATCTATCTACAACCTGCTAGTTTGTCGTTATTTCGTGGCTAATTTTAGAAAGCCTGGAATGAGATTTATGTTGTATATATGTTACATACGCGATCGGGTTGGGTCGGGTCTGGTCGGGCTGATCGGGTCGAGGTTTCAGTGCACACTACAGCCCCGCCGCGATTGTACCTGACGACCTGGAAGTTAAAGTAGAGAAACCTTTAACCTACATGCGACTATACAGAGGGCGTAATCTGGGCTACGATTGGCTGGACCTTTGACCCATGAATACATAAAATGTGTCTACCGTACTCTTGGACTTCCCGCAATCCCTCTCTCTGTCTCTGTGTGTGTGTGTGTGTGTGTGTGCGTGTGTGTGTGTGTGTGTGCGTGAGTGCTTCCTTGCTTTCTTGCTAACTTGCTTTAGTGTCTCTCTCCTTTCTTGTCTATTTCTCACTTCACATATCAGAGACCTAGATCTAGGTCTAGCAATGTAAACATTGCTAGATCTAGGTCTCTGCATATATCTCTCAACTTATCTCTCTCCTTCCCTGTGACTCTCACCAACCTCCCTCTGTAGTGCTCCTCCTCCTCCTTATTCGTCTCCTTCCTCTAAGCCTATGAGCGCTCCAAACCCGCTGTGTGAAATGATAAGACGGTCAAAGGCGTGAGACTGAAACTGTGAATTCCTTGAGTACCAACTTAATGTATTCACGGGTCAAAATGGACATGTGACTCATCCTTGTTGTGATTGGCTGCAAACCACCTGATCGCGCAATTTGCAGGCCAGAAAACAAACGCGTTTGTTTTTTTAGGTCACCGATCGTGTCAATTGGTTTGCGCCACGATAGCCGCTTTGCACCGTCAATTTGGCTAGCCCTGACTACCCCATGGGCCCGACCCGACGCGACCCGATCGCGTATGTGGGCACCCCCTATTAGGTGGAAACTGAATTGGTCAATTGTTGTTGCCTTGGCAGGTAAAATTGTTGCTGGGGGAGGCTGGAATGTTTCTTCAGAATGTTATATTTAAAAGATAAAACTTTGGCACTAGTTTTTTTTTATCAGCCTTTTTTATTCTATATATTCACCAAAGTCACAAAGAATATAAAGGTCTTTGCACTAGCACTAAATGTTATGGAAGAATACAGAAGACTTGACCTTTTGGTAATTTGTTATAGCCATTAGTAATCCATCAGTCATTTGGCTTGTGCACTTTGTCCCTGTTTATAATGTTAAAGTATGTAATATAAATTCAAATTAGATTATTTCTTTGAATGTAAAATGTACAAATATGTGGTTGTTGATCCAGTTCTAGTTGAGCCTTCACCCTTCAATCCCTTGCCACGTACTGATATGTGCAGGTCTTCTTTGACTGCTGTTTGAAAATGATCCTAAAGAGTGGTGTACGTTAATAATGACCGCATTTCTTACATTGTTTTGCACAGGCATTCTGGAAAGAGGACAACGATAAGTTTCAGTACGGTTTCCAAGGTGTCCTAGAGGACTCTGAGCTGGGTCCCGTGGGTATCGTGTATGATGCGTCCTCTGGCAGAGGAAATCCAGCTTTGGCAGGCTTTATCTCTTCATCTCAAGGTCTTGATGGCGACGTGAGTTGACTGGTTTTGGGTCACTTTGCCTGTTTGCTTTTGTCATATTTATTTTTATTCAGTTTATAATAACAACAACAACAATAACAAAAATAATAATAATAATAACATTAATAATATAATAATGATAATAATAATAATAATAATAATAATAATAAATTGCATTTATATTGCTCATTTTCATCACAACGAGATGCTTGATGTGCATTGCAATAAAATGAGCAAGGCAGACATAATAGTGCACAATTGATAAGAATTTGAAAATATTCTCTACTCAAAAGATAACACACAATTCAGCATGCCGGAACATTGATAAAAATCCACTATTACAAAAAAACAGGTATATATGGACAGGAAAATGCCAATCAGTACACAATATGATGATCAAGTTTGACATAAAAAGCCTGATTATGGTTGACAAGTCAAAGTGCGAAAAAGAATCAACAGTGCACTTCTATTTATTTGAAAATGATTTTTTATGTTCTTAGATTTAGAGGAAAACTTCCACCCTGGCTTGCTGCAGAGCTATTGTAATATTATGGATTAATTTTTTGCATTGTGCTTGTTATGAAAATGCTACTGTTTTTTTTTCATTGTATGCTGAAGAAAACTTCTACTTTCTTTATGAGAATGGAAAATAAAAGCAAGCAAGAAATAACCGGCAATACTGCCATTTAAATGGAAAAAAAAAAATCTAGAATACAGTAGTCTCCGCCTAAGATCCCACCGCTTACGATCCCGGTTCGCTTAACATCCCGCTGTTTTAAGAAAACAGAATTTTTACTATACAAAAGTCACCCCTAAGATCCCGCTCTGATTCACTCTGAAGGTCTACATTCGGGTAAGATCCCGCATTTCAGATCATAATTTGTGGAACAAAAACCGAGCGGGACAGCCAATCAACCAAGAATGAAAAGTTGAGATCAATAAACTGTCCGTCATGTCAAAGATCAGCCACTGTCGTGAATGTGATCAGATACACGTTGTAAAACTCGATGAAGCGATACAATGTTTGCCCCAGACGGGATCAAACCGGGGTGTGAACTGACCGACACGTTTGTTTTCCCCGAACATTGCACTCACACCTGAGCTCTCCCCCTAAACTTACACCACTCGCTGGGTGGGTAGGGCCTCTGCGTTTGCTTCAGGCGGGATCACATTGAACTGTGAACTCTTCCCTGGCCATTGGAGAAGTTGTCTCTACTCTCGAATTTGCGACATAGAATGAATTTTAATTGGTGTGTTCACAACGTAATGGTGTGTAACGACAAAGGTGTTGTTTGGGGGGGGGACTCGGTCAGAGATGGAAAGCTATAAATTTTCGACAGGTAAGGGGGAGGGGCAACAGGATAAGCGTATATCTTGAGACTTATGATAGGATAATAAGTGAAAATGGAACGTCTCATCCCACTATGCACGGTGATAGGTCATCAAGGTTAACCACTCTTTGCTCGCCATACATCATAAACCCACCAAGCGATCACGTCAGATGATCTTAGAGTGGAGGAAGACCATTTTACAGATTGTGAGCCTTAGCATGGGTCACCATAGATTCTTCCCAGGGTTCGTCGGTTAAGATCCCGGTTCGTCTAAGATCCTGCATTTCCTTGCTCCTGAGCACCGGGATCTTAGGTGGAGACTACTGTACTTGAATATGGGTCAAACAGATTTTCTTAACGTTCTTTAAGTGAAAGTGCACACATATTTTTATCTTAGTTTAGTGTCAATATTCAATGACTACTCAAACTTTATTGATATTGAACGGTTTGAACAGAAGTTATGACTGACAGATTATTTCCAATTTGTGACTAATCCTAATTTTGTGAGAAACTGGGTTTTTCCTTCAAGTGGCAAATTAAAGGGTAGAGAAATTGTCAATGACTCATTGAGGCACCTTTTTTTCAGGGATTTATGTTGACCTGTGTCTTCTTTATCGTAAATAAAAGAACACCCTCATGACTCATGAGAAGCATAAAATGAAATTTTATGCAATGAATTACAGAGCTGTAGACTTGTGAGTAAGGCATTAAAAAAAAAAATTACACGTACAATTTTTGATGCACTGCTTTGATATAAAAGAAACTAAAGGTAACATTGTTACAAAATTATGTACCGCAAGGAAGTCTCAGAGATTTGAAGCATATCCTAATCATTATAATTTCTAATAGATCCCTTCTTAACTCTTTCGCTACGCCGAGCCGTGGGGGCGGCACAGTTAAAGTGACGTCAGTACCCCGGCGGCGGCTCGAGAACTGATCTTCAATTTTAGCTTAGATTCTATTCCAATCCACATATCCATGTTAAAATAAAGGTCATAATATAATGTTGACTTTCGGGTCAAGTATTTCCACTGAAAATCGGAAATTTAGATTCAGTTTTGACACGCGATTTCGTAGTTTATTCGACTTATCGCGATGCCAAAATTATAGCCCGGACACCAGTCTTAGTAATTTTACACAACAAAATCTATCATTATTTCGCCCACTAAAGAAATGTAGGACTCTTTTTTATAATATTGATACGATTGGACTTATGCCAATGCACTGTTACTGAGAAAGCAATATTTTTGAGTGATAGATCTAGGTCTAGATCTAAATTGTCAAAGATTTTTTTCTCCCCAAAACCACTACTTTTTGATGAAATTACACAAAAAGTGCCACTCAAGACATGTATAGGTTTATTCCAAATGCAATTCTGAATAATTCCATATAAGATACGAGTGTTTTTTTTTCTGTTTGTGATCGTTTTTCAATATTATAAAATGTTTAATTTTTTTTTCAATATCGGATGTTACGTTCTAAATGTACAAATATTATGAAATGTAGGTAAATAACTGCAAACTTTTCAATATTTTCCAGTTCTATATTCATTTATGGTTATTTTGATGTATCATTTGACTAGGTGCAAATATATTTTTTGAGTTTCACCAAAGATTATTAATTTTTTATTTTCAAATTTTATTCGCATCCAATAAAAATTGTGTTGCATAATCGTCTCTTACAGGAACCCAAGTTGAAAAAAACATAAATAAACATTACTGATGTATTCTACAAACCATACTGAAAATATTGGTACATAATACGTTGATATTTATTTGAAATTGTGGCCCCAGAGACCTTTGAACTGCGCACTAGTCATCATCTCATTCTCCCTCCCGAAAAAAAATTCGTCCGCAAGCCGAAAATAATACGTAGCGAATGAGTTAAAGTTTGACTATGGGTGGATGGCGGGTGCTCTGGTGTGGTTTGCTCCTTTTTTCCTATCAAAAACCTATTGTCCTGATCTCCCCTCCTTTTTTGTATTTGTTACTCTCTTGTAACACCTCTAATCTTGAGCACTTATATGGCCGTATTGTATTGAAGTGCCGTAAAACTCTTACTCAATCTAAGTTAAAGATTTCACAACTTTGGAGACTTGTGTGAATTTTTATTGTCAGAGATGCAAAAGTGTTTTTCTGTTTACTTGGGCAGAACTCTGCATAGTAAATGGATACCGTTTTAATTTTCTTTTTAACTTAAAAATCTCAGCCCAAGAGCAAGAAGGCCGTCATTTTGAAGCTGGTGGAGAGCCTGCTGGGCCCCCAGTGCCACAAACTGCTGGAGTTCTCCCAGATGGACTGGAGCAAAGAGCCGTACAATGGAGGTTGCTTTCTCAAGTCTCTTATGCCGGGCACCACAAAGTATTTCAACAGCGAATTGAGGGAACCTTTTGACAGGTATGGCGTTTGTTCTTTTCACACTTTAAATATTGATGAAAGGAGGAAAAATATGTTCTTCTTGTGCTTTGAATGTTGTTTAAAGAAGCAAAAATAGTTTTTCTTCCACCTTGAATGTTATTAAAATAATAAATTTTTTGAAAGTTCTTCTTTCTATTTGAAAGTTGTTGAAAGAAAAAAAAAGAAAGACTTCTTTCACTCTAAATGCTGTTGAAAGAAAGATAAAAAAGCTCTTTCTGTTTGATAAAAAAGCTCTTTCTGTTTGATTGATAATGAAAGATGAGAAAAAAATAAGCACAGGTGAAGCAGTTGTTTAGTATTGTGAAATAATGACTTGCAGAAGACAAATGACCTGGTTAACCTCCAAACCGTATCCTTTAACTATAATAATTTGACAAAGCTATTTGAGATATGGGTAACGATGAACAAACGGTTGAGCCCAAGCTTGTTCATATTTAATCAGTTCAAATCCAACTCGAAAATAGCCTAGATAAAAGCTCTCAGCTGATTCTTTAAAAAGGTGTGTCTGGTGTGACTTGGAAAAAGAGGCCAAGTTTTTTAAATTTTTAGACAATTTAATAGAATTTTCCACTGTAATAGTCTCTGCTTTTACATCAATTGTACAACTCAGGGGCAGAATCATGCTTTTATGTATGTATGAGTGTATACATACACACACACATATATATATGTATATATATAAAATATATAAACATACATACATACTTACATACATACATAGATCTACATATATATATAGATTTTATTTTCTTTAAAAAAATTTTTTTACCTGGTGTTGCAATTGACTGACTTTTCAGAAGAAAATACAATAATACAATTCATTTTCCTTTTTATTATTGACTTGGGGATGGGGGGGGGGGGGGGACATTTTATAAGCAGCTGATTTTAAAACAATGGACCGTGCTGGATAATCATGATATTATATGTCTGTTATCTCTGTTTTGCGATTTGTTTTGAGGGTTGTGGAGAGACGGTGGCCGGGGAGTATCATGACTCTCAGAAATGTTATCTGGGCTTTATCTTTGCCTGAGTTTATTGCACTTCTGACTGGCACCCGTGACCTATGTGTGTATTTGACAGCTGCTGATAACCTTGGGTAGAGATAAGTTTTTAGTAGAGGAGGTGTCGCACTCTTAAAACTAATAAAATGATGTCATCTGTTTGTGTTTTGCCTTCTCTGGTTTTCCTCTGTGCGGGCTTCCTCTCGCAGAAAGGTTACACCAGACTTCTGGTGGCTTGAAAAGGTAGGGAGGTAGGGTGGGGAGGAGTTTGCACACTGCCGCTAGAATTTAAAAAACAAAACAAGCAAATACAAATCTGGATCAAACTAATTTTTCTGTAAATTCCAGTTGAAAGGCCCTTATCTCAGATTGGTATGGATATCTCTATTTTCAATGAATATTCTAACTTTTTTTAAATTGGATTATTTGGACAGAATTGATACTTTTATAAATTAAAAAAAAACCTCGTATAACAATTTTGTAATGCACTAAGGTTTCATTTAAGGGAGTGCTTATTTGGGCCACATATGGCCTAAATAAGGTAAGGGAGGGGGGTTTAGCTTATTTAGGCCACAGGTGGCCTAAATAAGGTAAGGGAGGGGGGTTTAGCTTATTTAGGCCACACATGCTCAAACTACCAGGGGACACCCTTTTAAGGCAACTGCGTTCGTTCCACTTTCATAATGGTGCACCTTTCTCATTTAGTACAGTTTTGTCTCAGTGTACAACTTATATATATCATAATGAATATTGTAAGAACAAAGCACGATACGCAAAGTTTTGCTCAATCTCAATGGTTTGAATGAGGGCCAGATTTTTCCTTCATGGAGGGGCAAAATCTAGGCTACCATTTTGGCACACTTTGGTCAAGTAAAAAGGTCAAATCCTCCGAATGGACTTCCGGGTCAAATTTGGGGTATAAAAAGTGTGTACACAACGTGGCTGAGTCAAAGTTACACTATCTTTGCCTGGGTGGCACTCTCTCGTACTGTCTCGTAGTAGTACATCTCTCGTACTGTCTAGTAGTAGTAGCCTACATGTGTAGATGTAGTAGTAGTAGTAGTAGCAAAGATCGAGAAGAATCTTTGGTAGTAGATTCTATCTAGTAGGCAGTTTAGTGAACGTGCACGCAGCAGGGCGAATTGGCCTCGATAAGCCCCGTAGACCTTTGTGATCGGCCACGAAGCCTCGTGTTTTGATAGGTCTAAACAACTTAGTGTTAATCGCACTGCCACATCCGACAGGCCTTTATCTTTTTAAAAGGAAAAGAAATGGTCATCAAAATGGTTGAATTTGCGTGAAAATCGATTCGGTAGAACTGTAACTATTAAAATTTGCTTCTGAAAACAAGTTACAAGGCCATTTTTATAACTCGATGAGATAAAAACTACTGGCTGTATTATTCTGTATAAATTATGAAACTTCAGGACGTATTATTATTTTCCAACATCTTTTGCCGCCTTAGCTGTAGAGGTTGAAGTTTTCACAACACTAATAGATCTAGTAATAGGGCTTTCCGTAAAAAATGCATAGATCTACAAAAGCCGAACCACCGAATCGACCGGTCAGCGACCCGGGCACCCCGCTCTCCCCTGCACACTGTGATAACATGTTGCTTCGGTATAATTATTCAACTATTAATATGTGCTGCTATGGCAATTGGGATGTACTGACTGACAAAGCGATTCAGTTTTGTTTTTATTTTACCATATATTTGACTTTAATAGTGCAGGTGATAGCTAGATCTAGATTCCCTGTCTAGAATCAGTAGTAGCAGACAAATGCTAGAAGCAGCCAGAGAGCCTACAACTGCTAGATCTAGATCTAACTCATTGCTAGATCTATGGGCTTTGGAATTGAAATAAAACGAATTGCACAGTTCTAGTTAATTTTAGATTCAGCAACTATCTGTATTTCCAGAATTAATAATAACAAATCTCACCATAACAATCACTTTTACTTTTATTAGAATAATTAGATCAACTTTTTTTTCTAAAATCTGTTTTGCGCAAACTTAAGACTTTCTCTACGTGTAGAGCACAGAATTTACATTGTAAGCCTCTGCTCAGTCTTTTATTTTTAAGTATATACTTTTAAATAAAATACGTATAGATATAGATCTATATAATCATTTTATGTTATTTTTTGGATATTGTTAAAAACGGGGTCTACCTAGCAAAATACTAGGTTTTAGGACAGGTGGACCCCGGGGTCACCGTAGTGAAATACATGTAAGTAGATTTATTTAAAGATTAGTAGACCCCGGGGTCACCGTAGTGAAATAAGTAGGTTTAATTTTAAAAGGATTGGTGGACCCCGGAGTCACCATAGCCGTAGAGGAATAAGAAGGTTTAATTAAGAATTGGTGGACCCCCGGGACACCGTGATTAAACCTACTTATTTTACTACGGTGACCACATGGTCCACCTATTCTAAAACCTAACTAGTATTAAATTTCGTTAGGTAGACCCTGGGGTCCACCTTAAACCTAAACCTTCCTATTTCACTACGTTGACTCCTGGGTCCACCAATCCTTAAAATTAAACCAAGATCTACATGTACTTATTTCACTACGTTGACCCCAGGGTCCACCAAACCTTAATTAAACCTAGATCTACTTATAATTTCACTACGTTGACCCAGGGGTCCACCAATCCTTATTAATTTAAACCTAGATCTACTTATAATTTCACTACGTTGACCACGGGCTCCGCCAGTCTTACTATAAAATAAACTGAGATCTACTTATTACACTATGTTGACCCCGGGGTCCACCGATCCTTAGTCAAACCTAGATCTACTTATTTCACTACGCTGATTCCAGGGTTCACATCCTAAAACAGCATTTTGTTAGGTAGACCCCGCGGTCCACCTATCCTTTTGGGGCTAGATAGACCCCGTGGTCCGCCTATCCACTTCCTTGATAATAACTGAAAAACATGCCAGTTGTCATGAATAGTGAAGAAAAATGTGGGAAAAAAAAGATAACGAGGTAGACGATAATTTGTCAAAAAAATTGCAAGTGCAAGTGAAAATCATAAGATAATTTTGTTATTTTCTGGTCATCTTTTCACGGTTTATAAAATGTTCCAGTGGGCTTACTACTAGATCTATGTCTCTGAAGAACATTTTGCTTGATTTTATTAGCTTTTTTCATGTACTTGAAAGCATAGAATAAAATAGTTTCACACAAATGTATGCACAATACCTTAAAAAAGAAAGATAAGGTCATTGTTGTTGTTGTTTTTTTAACGGAATCCGTTTTACGTTGAAAAAAGCGCTAAAAACAAGTTTAAATTTTTATAAGAATGCCCATAATATTAGGAATCCGAAATTACTACCTTGATCTAGTTTGCTGACTCTTTAATAACCATGAGCTGTTAAGAAAAAAGAGAATGATATAGGATTTGTCTAAATATGACCATTAGTATTAGCATTAGTAAGATATTGCCCATTTTGTCCAATTATCCTTGCAGGTTTTAATCACCCTGTACTGCACCTCAATAAGCACAAAAAGAATATTTCTGTGACTTTGTATAAAGGTGTTTTGTAGTTGAGTTCTATGTAAAATTTTCAACAAAATAATGTACATTTGGACCGTACAACTGAGATAGACACTCATGCACACAATAACATTCACACATTACACACATACAAACACACTACTACATTTACTCTCTCTCTCTCTCACCACAACCACACACAAAACAAACACATACACACACTCACACACGCACACACACACACACACACAACTCTTACACTTGGTCCACTTATTTAGAATCATCCTCTATTTTGAAATAATCCCCCGCACTAAATAAAAAGATCAGTAGAATCTCGACCTTCCGAATCCATGGTTAGTTCAAGAAATCTACCATATGATGTGGCCTAAATAAGGTAAGGGAGGGGGGTTTAGCTTATTTGGGCCACAGTGTGGCCTAAATAAGGTAAGGGAGGGGGGTTTAGCTTATTTAGGCCACACTGTGGCCCAAATAAGGTCACCCTTCATTTAATGGGTGGTTGGCAGGTGCTCTGGTGTGGTTTTGCTCCTTTCCTATCAAACATCTATCGTCCTTATCCCCTCCTTTTTTGTGTTTGTTACTCTCTTGTAGCACTTCTAATCTTTGGCACTTATACGACCTTATTGTGTTGCAGGTGCTGTAAAAACTCTTACTAAAAAGATCCTAAAGTTTTCATTTCAATTGGCAGTAAATCAGCAGTAGTAGCAACAGCAGGTGATTCTGTACATCTTTTTTTAGCACATCAAGTCTTGTATTATTCTTATTATTGTGAGTGGGTGATTGAAGGGTGCCGCCTGTCTGTCTTATTTTTCCCCAATACTAAATGATCATTTTGTCAATGTGCGGCTCTTTACTCAAATAAACATTATTATTGGAGGGTCGTGGTTCTGTTGTTGATCAAGCTTGTCTTGATCTGCATCTTTTTCTGTCCTCAGAGAAATTCGCGCCCGCAACCCGCAAGTTGCGCGCGCAACTTTTGCGCAACTTTTGCGCAACTTTTACGATTTTCGTGAATCCGCTAGTTTTAGCCAATTTCCCGCAAAATTAGGAAAAATAATAATAAAATTTCATTTAAAACACCTAAATTTTCTTCCACGACTAAAAATAACGTCGCCAAGGGGGACAATTCGCTTCTTTACACTTTGCACTAGCCTACGGGTGCCCGCCGCCGCTCAGTGACCGGGGCCGGGTCAGGTCGGGTCGGGATGATCGCCCGACTCGTCATCTGAAAACAACGTGTTTGTTTTGAAACAGCGAGTCGGGCGTGATCGACTTGAGCCATGATAGCTGCTTTGCACCATCAATCTAGCGAGCAGCCCGACCCAATAGTCTTATTTGGACTAGTCTAGCTAGAGTAAATCAATTGTAAACACGGTCGTCTGATTACTTAGCTTGCTTTGTTCCGTAGCACCAGGGTAGATCTAGTATACTAATTTGTGAAAGACTTTAAATCTTAGGCTAAGGAGGGTAGATCTAAAATGGATCGATTCATCCAGAAAACCCCTAAAGGGAAGGGGACGTTCAAATAATATCATCTTACGCCAGGAAAAAAAAGGGGGGGGGTCCTTCGACTCCTGTAAAAGTTAAAGTGTAAGGGGGGGGGGGGGGGGTTAACCAATGTAAGATTACACTTTTGTAAGGTGAAAAAAATAATCAAGGAAAATGGCAACGTAACTTTTTTGTTAATAGCATAAAAAGAGAGTAACTCTACACTATTCACTTAGACTTAGAGTTAAGTTTGAGCGGTAAGCTCTGCATTGTGGCAATACAATGGACCTCGAGCGGCAAGCACGATATATGTCATCTCGCACTTTATACACTGGTAGATATCTAAGCTACATGACATTGACAAGTAGATCTAGTCTAATTTTGATTACACCGGTGCGGTTAAAGTGGTAAAATGACACCGTAAGTTTTTCTGGAAAAGTTCCGATATTTTTATAGCGTATTGAATTATTATGTCACATGTATGTGTATGCATGTTTTTCATGAATAGCATAATTAATAATTTAAAAGTAAAGCGCATAGAAGAGTGGTTGTACCACAGATTTGCGCAATATAAATGTCATATTATTATTATAAGCGAATAACATAATATACGGGATTGAGGGGGGGGGGGGGGGGGGTGTCGCAGGAAAGTGTAAAAAAAGTGTAAGGGCGGGAGGGGGGGGGAGCAAACAGTCCCAAACAAAGTGTAAGATTTTATTTGAACAGCCCCAAAACCACGCCGGCCACACCTGCCCAACGTCAGCGAGAGTTTAAGGACCTGATGCATGTGTCAGGGGACAAACTGTTTTTGTACTTCAAGCAATTTTTTTTTTTGGTAGACATTCACATTTAACTTTTGATTTTGATCTAACAAAACTCTATTTGGTTACTTTTGATTGCAATGAGCATAGCAACAATACAATGTATTCCAATAGTTCTGTGGCATTGTTTTAGCTATACGTACGCCTTGCAACTTTTGCTACTTTTTCTTGCAACTTTTGCTATTTTCAAATGCAACTTTCTCTGAGGACAGCTTTTTATGAGAATCCCAAACTATACTCTTCAATGATCCTGTGACTGGTTACACCATACATGAACTCTTGATAACAAGTCTCTTTTCTTTCCTTTTCTTTCAGAATTCATTTTGCTGGCACAGAAACAGCGACTGTTTGGTGTGGTTTTATGAATGGAGCAGTGCAGTCTGGGTTCCGAGCGGCCACGGAGGTAGTAAAGATTTTCTTTGTTCACCCATCTCATGGTTACATTACTGCACATATTTCATACACCGCTTTTTTCGTTTTGATGAGAATCAGAGAGAGGCTCTGTTCACACTTAAAATAACCATGAACATATTTATAAAGCATTTATTCTATTTTGTGCATTTATTTTGTGTTTGTTTTGTGTATTAATATATTGATAACGTGCACTGAGTGATGAATGAAAAATATACTTATTATGAAAAGATTTGGTGAGTGAACAACACTGGTTATTTCATTTAATTATGTCAGTCAACCCTGCCGTAACGGAAACCTGTGTAAAATGGAAACCTGTCTTGACGGAATCTCCCCGCTCCCCCCTCTGTAATTACCTGCATAAAACGGAAACCTGTCCAACGGAGAAACAGAAAGAAGAATCCGCTCCCATCCCACCTGTCTAAGATGGAAAATGCTTTGCCCACTCAACCCTGATTTATTTGATTGAAACAAAACTCGCAAGTTTGGTTCCGCCGGTTCTAAACTTAACGCCATGCCGCCGTGCGAGGAAGGGGAGTAGGGGTGCAATTTGGGGGTAGATGTTACCCCATCTATGTGAGCCCTGAGCGATGCAGTTGGTCAGAATAGTGTGGGTATGAAATCTCACGAGTGCCAGTGAAAGTGCTCGAGTAGCAAGCCACTACGGAAACTTACCTGGGTAGCCAGAAGCCCGAGGTGTGAAATTAGTTTGACCAATGCCTATTTCCCTGATCGTACAGCCAGCCGAGAAGAGTTCATCGAATCGTTGTAACATGGCAGTGATGGGTGGCATTGGTTGACTGTGCTTGTTACACCAATGGGTGGGGCTAAGGGTGGAAGCAAAGGAGATGTTAAGATGTTTCTGTTCTTAATAGGTCAAATAGTGGTCCTATGAAATGCAAGCACTGGTGGTTATTGGATAAGTAATTATCAGAGAGGATAGCAGCTGAGAGGTGTGAAGTTTTGACCACTGCTTGTCAATTGATCCTACCGGGCTTGAACTAAGATCAGTGGTCATTTTTGTTTGTTACTTTGATTTAGTGTAGAATGTAATTAAAATACTTCTTGTAATAGTCTCACTTGTTTTGGAAACATAATTTTTTTGGGGCATTTCATTAAAAGTGTAAAACATTCTGTGCTCTCTTATAAAATATATGTAAAGGCAAGCTTTTAAACCATGTGCAAAGGATTTCCCATTTTTGTAAGGGATCAGAAAAGTTAACAGTATCACCATGCCTCATTCACAAATATATTTAGCTTCGTTAGTATCATGCTGGACCGTGGAGTGGATACCCGTAGTTTGAATCCCCCATGGTGTGTTCTGAACTTGGGGTTTTTTGGGGAGTTTTCCAGGCTTTCCACACTTTTAGGCAAGTCCTGTCAAAAATAGACGTTAAATACAAAAATTCTTCCTCTGTAAATTTATGGTCTTGCAAGGGATGTTATTTTCAAAATGGTCAGTGCCAAATGTATAGATATGGTAAGATGAATTATGGTACGCAAAATTCTATGTTATAGAATTAGGAGAAAAACGTGTCTCTTTGTCATCCCAGGTTCTGTACCATCTGCGTCCCTTGATCATCACCTCACCCGACCCTGAAGTGCCACGTCTGGATGATGAGGAGTTCTCCAAGGGCCGAGACTCCTCTCATTGGCTGGCTCTGGCCATCTTGGGGATGGGCTTTGCTTCGGCCTATTATTTTTTGACGAAGACGAACAAGTTCTCCGCAGGAACGACTTTGGTCAAGAACATACGTTTGGTATTTGATTCATGATAATGATATGATGTTTGGGTGAGATTTGGTTGTTGACATATACTAAATTGCTTTTCAGTTTTTGAGTGTCTAAATGAGAGTGAACATGGGTGAGATTTGGTTGTTTATACTGAATAGCATGTCGGTTTTTTTTAGAGTCTAGAGAAGAGTGAAAAAATTAACTAATATAATCATTTACATGTAGTTCTTGTAATGCAATATTTTTATGTACTGGTAATTTGGGCTAGAGGAAAGAAATGTTGTACCTTCATGCCTTTGTCTCAAGCAATATTGTTAAGAGCTCATGAATGTGTTCATAGTGATGCGTTTCCTTGAGAAAAAGAATGGGAAGGGAAAAGATACTGCAAGAATTGGCATAGGGCCACATGGGTCAAAAGGACTTTGGGCACACCCTCAAGCAACGGACCTATTGTTCTCACACCTTTGATCTAAAATCCTCTGAATGAAGGTACCAGTACTCGCAAAGTTTTTGAAGTCTTATCCTCGTGAATGTTGGATATTATAGTTAAAGGACTGCGCTGCTGTACATGTGGAATCTTCTGCCTTGCACAGCAACACCAAGAATCACAAAACAATTAAATACTGCTGTTATCAAGGACGGAAATACAAAAAAGAAAAAGTCGTTGTTCGAAGGAGGCGGCATGTTTGTCGTTCAAGGGTATTCTGCTAGTAAAAGTTTGTCATTTGAGGGCGCACTCAAGACTTTCCCCCAGACTGACACTGGTGCACCACCATGCTCTGCTTTGTGCTGGGGGGGGGGGGGGGGGGGGAGGATTTGTCTAGTCTAATCCTTATGGTGCTTGCCTTTATTTACGTAAATCTTTGTATCACCCTCACTGATAGGGGCAGGGGCATTAAACCTTTGCTCTATACCATTTCATTCTCTCCCCCCCCCCACCCCACTCACATTGCCTCGGTTACTGCAGGCAATAAGAAGATAGAACTGTCATAGTTTAGACATCTGTTGATTAAGGACATGAAATTAGAAATAGGAATATATTCATGTGAGAAATTCTTTCCTGGATTTTTAGAAAATGTTGCAGGAGTTCTGGTTTCTCTTTTTCCTTTTTCTGCTCCATTACCCAGCGTAACGCTTGGTGTAGGCAGCTGTTGGTTCTGCCACCCGAAGAGTGACTGATATTACTTAAATGAATCTAACTAAAAGCTAGTTTAAACCTTGTTGTTGATTGATAAGGTTGTGGTATAATGCCTACAGTGGGATGTTTGTAAAGACTGGACCTCTTTGTTCCCCTTCCCTCTTCTCCATCTCTCTCTTTCTCTCTCTCTCTTTCCTCCCTTCTTCCCCCTCTCTCTCTCTCTCTCTCCTCCCTCCCTCCCTCCCTCTCTTTTTCCACATTTTGTCTGTTACAGATACAATGTAGGTGATAGTGGTCTTTTAAAGAAATTTAAGAAGCAAAGTGCTCACCAATCACTTTTGTTTTGTGACTGGTTTAAATCGAGGCTCAAAGATTTGGTTTTCACTTTAGCATGCATCGCTTGGAGCAAAATGTCATATTCACACCCAGTGGCTACCTCACAACTAAAGTTTTAGTTCCAATTGCTAACTTTTTGCACACGTACATTTATCTCAGGGTGACTAGACCATTTTCTGAGTTGCAGTTTTTCCTTCTGTTGAGATTGCAACACAGGCTTTAATATTGTCATCTTCCAGAACAAAATAAAAAAAAAAAAACCAACTTTTGTTGGCTTTTAAAGGGAGATATGTTTCTCAGTGGCCTGCGTGATACAGGCAATGTATTGGTGCTCTAGTTGCGAGCCATTTAGTTTCTTCACAAGACTCCATCATGTCCTACGTGTAATTATTGAATCGGACTCTTACGGACTTCATTCTGTGTTCTACATGTGCAGTAGAGCTCAGAGATGATCCAGCTGGTAATTATGTTTGGGTTTGGGAAAACTGTTAATGTACAATAAATCTTATTAAGCTGGCTGGGTATGATTAACATTGTTTGAATCCGGTGAAATTGGAATCCGTCTTATGTTAGAATTGTTTACCAGGGTTTTTTTTCTGGGGAGGGAAATTACTTTCTCTTTATGGTTATCATATGTGCTTTTTTCATGTTGTAGTTGTAGGGTAAGCATCTCTTCATGTAAACAAAAATATTTATGCTTCAAGTTGCAATTATTGTTCCTCGATTTTGTTTGCAAGAGGGAGAACGTTGTTTACACTTTATTAAAGACTGGTGCATGTTATTTTTTGTAGTGTAAGTCATGTAGTTGTTTTTAGTTGGTTTAAAAAATTTTTTTGTAGTATTACCAGATTTTGATCTCGTCTATGTGAGTTTTCTCTCTCTTGATTAGAAATAGTATTCTTCCTGTGCTAAACATTGCTGAAGTGCAGTGAAGCTATATTTATTCAGTTTGACTAGTTTGGGGAAAAAGAGGATAGAAGATGGCACGTGGGCCAGGATATGTTTACTGAGCTTTATGTGGTGTGGACTGTTTAGGAAATATTTCAAATGTTTCAGACCTATTTGCTGTTACTCACTAAAAATGTGTAAAACATTCAATCCAAGAAAATGAAAATTAATAGTCTTTGTGTGACTGTTTTTAGCATTTTGTTATGATGACCTTTTATTTGGCATACATTACATTTCATCAATTTTTTTTACAAAGTGCAGCAGTTGGTAGCCAAGCGTAAAGATAATTTTAATGTTGATTCAGTATTTATTATTATTTGTTGTTAACAGACTGGTGCATTTCAGGGGAAGAGTGACAAAGGTTTTTTTTGCCAAGTTTACTGTTTTCTCTGTCATTAAATATAACACCACAATTGCCATTTACACTGCAAACTTTTCCATCTGCATTTGAGAATGGCTACCAATAACAGTATTTACAGAAAGCATTTACATCATGAAATGGAAGCAGAGCCGACTGTTGAAGCTTAAATCCGTTGATAGGGTTTTTGGGATATAATGTTACTTTGTTTGACCTTGGTGAGGATGGGACATTTGCCGCCAACACTGAATGCTAGTTGTGGGATGTGCTTGTTGTAGCTCCTACTTCTTTTTTTTTTTTTTTGCTCCTTTTTTATTTCATGTAATATCTATTTCATCTTTCTGTACAACACATTTTGATAACATGTGAGTGGGTTAATAAAGACAAGACAATATTCCTGAAGGAAGGCCCTGATTACTGGTAAATGGCATCAGAAGACTTTGCCTTTAGTTGTTGTTTTTTAAGGTTTTAGTAAGACTTTTACAGTATTTGCAACACAAATAAGTTATATAAGTATCAGTGTTTTTTAAAGTTTTTAAGTTTTAGTAAGAGTTTTACAGTATTTGCAACACAAATAAGTTATATAAGAGTCGAAGTCAAGATGTTAAGGGAGCGTAGAGCTTGCTGTCGAGTGGGGATATGCTCTACACAAATGCTGTTTATTGTTGTTATTATTATTATTATTGTTAGAAACATTACTGAACAACTGGGTTGAGGGACTGTGAAGCTGAAACCATTGTTTGTGACAGACATGTAGATAATAAGACATGTAATGAAATAATTGTTCACAACCAAAGGATACAATTTTCCATGTTGTTTACTTTTGTGATTGCTGTTGAAACACGACATATCAACTGTTGTATGAAATAATTATGGAGCTATCATGAACTACGTCACTGATAATTATGTAAATGTTTTCTTTATAAATTATTATGGTTGAATAGCTTACGACTTTTGAGAAGTGATATGCGCTGTTTAAATGTAGTTTTTATTATTGTTTTGTACGGAATATAAGTATTGCGGACTCTTGAGCTTTCAAATTTTTTAAACGAAAAATGTATTTATCTTTACAAAATAATCTTTCAGCAAAAGTTTCTTTATTTAGGAAAGTGAATATTTCTATAGTGGATTCCTTTTGATATATTTGGGAAGCACTGCTATAGATTCAACTCTTCTTTGACATGAAGATTTAAAAGTTATCATCACTCTATGCAGTCATAGAGACAGTACATTGTACCCGTACAAGATGGTCCGCTTTCTAAAAATAAGTGTTCTCAAATATTCTTCAACAATTTTACCCACCTCTGCTGGTCAAACTTTTTTTTCCCGTTTCTTAAATAATTAGGCTATCCTTGCTCCTGCTCTTGGTGTGCAAGATAACGCCACTCCCTTAAATTAGTATAGAATGTTTTAAAGTTTTGAGTAAAGAGAGGCACAGTTAAGTTCCTCAAATAGAGGAGCGAACCATCTTTCAATGTTGTATCTCTGACTCTGTTGATCCAGTTACACCAGAAACACTTTTATTTTCCCCATTCCGAAATGTTAACGTCACTGAACGTTTTTCTGGATTAACATACACTTCATTATTAATGAATTTGGGATTGAGTGTTGTTTTTAAAGACTAATTTTTTTAGATTTTCATTGATACTTATGAAAAGTATTTATGTGTAGTGATGAGACACATTTCTTGTGAGTATTTGTCTCCCCCTGTGTTGTGCCATATGTGAACTAAAATCCTCGGTTGTCTAACATGGCAAGATAATTCCTATCAGTTCAAAGGAGCAAAATAAACTTTTCCAATGTTTTGTGCTGTATTTTCTTTTTTATATTTGTACAGTCGAACCTGTGTAAGACAATAAGGAAGGCAGCCTGAGCAGAACAGCACCACCAAAGGAGGTCGTAAAAATATCAAATTCTGAAACATGGTGTCAAAATTAACATTAAAAAAAGATGTATTTTTTCCAAGAATGCACCATGTATTATATTCTTATCATAAAAAGGAGGAACAACTGTCATTTTTAACTCAATGTGTAATGCCCCCATTTACACAAATACAGTCGAACCTGCCCTGACGGCCACTTTCCATTTCCCCCCTTGTGTTTTTTCTATATAATTTAAATGTGAAAAACGGGCACCTGTCCAACGCGGCCACCATATTTTAACACACAACCCCTATCACATTAAGCAATAACACCTGTCTTAGACGGCCACCTTAGTGACTCCATTACGTTTTGTCATAAATCAAGCATTGGCCCCTTGCGTTGTGGGCGAGCCGTCATAATCTAATCACCTGTCTTTGTTATTAGGTAGTCCCTCCAACTGATCATGTTGCGTAGGCCCCTCCCACTGTTGACCAATAGGTAACAAAATTAATTTTCGGCTGCTGGTGAGGTAAGCGTGTGATCCCTCATAACCCACAAGCCCCGCCCAGAACTCATACACACAAATCGTAAGTGAGATGAGTGGTCACTGTTTACCCAGTCTGTAACAATGGACGTCAACATCTGCCCTGCCAGCAATACCATTTTCATTGATAAACATTGAAAACTGCCGTATTGTAAAATTAATATAAAATTCGGAACCATCGTATCCAAATTAACAAAATGACTTGTGGGTGACTTTTTCTTGGTGGATTTTGAAGTTCACCAAAAAAAAATGTTTTTTTTACCAAGATTGCATCATGTGTCCTTTTCTTTTCACAAAGTGTGACAAAGAAGATAGATTGTTGCCAGTTTTAACTGAACCTGCAATATCCCCTTTACATGTTGTAATATCTCTTGTAGTTTTTGCAATTTAAAAATTGAGCAAGCACAATAGCAAGTTACTTAGATTGAACTGGAATGTCACGGTAGGTGTCTGAGTGTTATGTTGACTCAGCTGTGATTTTACAAAAATAGAAACTAGAGAAACTATATTCTTCTTTATTTAAAAAAACCCACTAATACAATACTAGATTAATAACTGGGATGCAATCCTTCAGTATCTTGTAAGAAATGCCTGATAACATGAAAACAAAGAAAACTGCTACAGAGGCTTGTACAAATTCCAGATGGAGGACAATAAGGAAGGCAGCCTGAGCAGAACAGCACCACCAAAGGAGAAACCTTTCTGTGCTCCCAGTGACCCAATTTAGATTCGTTAGAAAGGAGGCTACTTCAACCACGCCTGTTGGGACCAATCAGGGCTGAAAGGGAATACAACGTCCCCACATGTGAACCCATCTCATGCCTTCTATGTGCTATGGCGAAGGCCCTATCCACTATACCACAGAATCCAGATGCTAGTAGCAATCTGCCAGCAAAAGTAGTAAAAAAAAAAAAAAAAAGCCTAACAGATTAAAACAAAAAAGTACAGGAGATGAACTGAAGCACTACAGTTGTTTTTTTTTCGGAAAAGAATTTATTCACTTTTTTTGTAAACAAAATATAACACTTGTTTAACTCCGGAAGCCATACATCTGATATTGAAATGATGACAATATCATGTCAAGAAAGAATATACTGTCTTAACTTCATTACAACAGAAACCACCAACCAGAAAAAAAGGCTAACATGCCAACGTATGTGGATATTACAACTTTGGAATAAATTCATGAAAGCAAATGGAACAGATCTTTAGCATGGAGTATATATTATTATGATATGATAACTATATCAACATTAACGCCAACTTTCAAGGTCTTTTGAAACAATGCAATTTCTGCTCTTCAAGTGTCTTGTGCAATGAAGACAATCGTCCAAAAATAAGATACCCCATTTGGTAAAACAAGTAAGCCATGCATTTATGTCCACCGAACCTCAGTTATTCACCTTCCCTATTTCTGCAACAAAAACAGAAAAACCTTAAACTTTGTAATTATTGAGTACATCATTTTTCTTTTATAGCACAAAATTCTTTCACTTTAATTTTTTATACAGTCTGTTTCAACCAACGTGAGCTGATTTCACAAGACAATTAGTAAAAATGGAAGTCAATACAGTACAAGCATATCTACTAAAACTGACGAGATATAGCAAAGCCCTTAATTATCAGGCTGACTAATCAAATGACAATTTCAGAAAAACAAAGTTTGAAGCACTTTTCTTAAAAATCCAAATCCTTGCTACACTTCACAAATTTGTACTAGTACGAATACGCTGTAAGTTACCATATTACATCTCGACATAGACACAGAAATAAATGATATAGTGAGAACAAGCTCTGATACAAGAGGTGTTTTGTCTGCAGCAATGACCCGGTAAAAATAATCAAGCGCTACGAATATGAGACAGTACTATGTGCACACAACAGAAAAAGTCCATTTAGTGATTGTAGAAGTATTCTCAAAGTAACAAACAATGCCAAAAGATACTTTTACCTGTATTTTCATTCCAGTTTACTCTATTAAGAATGTTTCCACAAAAAAAAAAGTCCATGCAAACTCACCAAAACATTAAGCCAGCAGAAATTATTCAGCATTTTTCTTTATTTTTTCTCAGTGTCCCATTGTAGATATATGAGAACAGTGGATCTGACCACCCAAAATATTTATGGGAGATTATCTGTCTAAACACTATACATGAGGATCAGCCTGACCAACCAATGCATGCCAAAGTCAAAGCCTCAGCAGAACAGTTTCTATTCAAAACCTGAAAAAGAAAGGTTTGTTTCTACCCACCTATGAAACTATGCACAAGCCTAACTTACAATACACATACGTGTTTTGCGAAGTACATATTATATCGTATGTGAAGAATACTGAAACAATACGCAATAAGGTAGATGTTCCTTTAGGCTGGTGTGTACATAATTTATAAATAGCATGGTGCCACTTTGTACTCTGCGAGTACACACTATACAAATCTACAATATTCAGATTAACTCATTTTACTGTTACTTTTTCATCCTCTGTTGCCGATAAACGTCGAGGGGTGATGAAATTTTCTATGGTAGGCCATTCAAATCAACAGAGTGTGAAAATCTTTAAAATATAATCGTCATCACATTGGTTTTGAAAAAAAAAAGAACCATCCCCCCAAATAAAAATTTTGTTCAAGAGTCAGCATTTACAAATAACAAAAGCAGGCAACATCAGTTTCGACCTTAAAGCCAGGCAGAAAGGAAGAAGCAGAAAGACAAATATGACAACATAGCCTGACGTTCTTAAAAAAAGGTCCTCACCCTGAACACTTTTTCCTTTGCAATAACACTGTAGTAAACGTAGCAAACAATGGCAAATGGCAATTTACACATTATCTTCAGTCCGTAGTAGCAACGGTAGCACACATATATTTTTTTAATCGACTGTTTTGTCCGAGCCCTGTTATATAGTGAACACACTTTTCAACACAGTGAAGAGTAGACATGAGCCCTGTCTACGTTGCCTCTGAAAAACACTCTAATTTGGAACTTTCAACAATTTTAATGTTTTCTGCAAAGAGAAAATAATGGGCAATTATTTCCAAAAGGAGCCAACAATGGACAAAGATCTAGCTTTCAAGAAAAGTGCATTGGAGCAAAAAGCAACCCCTTCATTGATTCTTTACTTCTAAATGCAAATATATATATACAGCTCTGAAAATTTATAGTCTACAAAAATAATTTTTGCTTCACTTTAAAGAAAAAAAGAGGAATTATTGACAAGTTGTAGGGCTCATAGGTTCGTGCAGCAAACAAAATAGGTAACCTGTCATAATTTATCCAAGCCTCGACAGAATAGTTACATTTTCAAATAACAAAGTACCCCAAACGATCCCCACATCACCTTGCTCTGAGTATGACAACATCCCTGTGAAAGTATTAATAAGCTCGTAAGCTCTTCCAGTGCCCTGTCCTAATACCCCCCAAATCCTGACGTGGACATGTCCTACAGTCTAGTTGTAATACATTAGTCAGCCCCCAATAGCCCGATAAAGGCCACATTTTCACCAGGAATAAATTGTGATAATATTTTAATAGTAACACTGAACAGAAATACAAGGAGCAGATCACATCTGAGCACCCACAAACCACCAGTGACATAACCCTCCCAATACCCCAACAATGAAATATAACACAATCTTTACAAATTTATAAAAACCTTCCCCCATCACTACATGGCATCGCGTAGATGAAAAACAATCCCAGGCGCAGCATGATGAGCAACAACAGCAACACAACTGTCATATAAGTAAAAAAAAAATGAGTGTCTCAACAACACAGCTACCACGGAGACTCAGTCAGACTTTCCAATATAGATTATTGTACGCAATTCGAGGGACGCAATGTACACAGCAGGAAAGAAGTATGGTATAAAGTAGGAATGCTATTATTCATCATGTGGTATACACGTACAGTTATCTACAAAGAAAAGTAACAATCTTCTTCTACGGTCATCTTCTCTATGCTTTATGTCCCCATTCTGGCAACATCAATATAATAATAATAGATAGCATTTGTATAGCGCATATCCCCGCTCAACAGCAGGCTCTATGCGCTTTACACTATATTATTACCCCAGCAGACCATAGAACACTCCGAAACATTCTCAGCTTCCCGGGAAGCATACACATAAATATATAAAAACTATAAATATTCTCCATTCAGACTACTAAACAAATCAGATAGAAAGACCATTTCATCATTAAAATTTGTTTTCCAATGGCATGGTCTTACTTGTCAGAGCCAAAGTGCATTTTAAAACACAAACAGGGAGATCAAAGTCACCCAAAAACACTGCTAATAAAGACATAATGGGGTAAAAAAGAGACTTGTGAACCCCTACTGGAACCTGATACTGTCATAGGCATACTCACAAAAAGAGAACCTTTTATATCACAGGCACATCAAATGATATTTTTCTAAAGCAAAGTAATGCTGTTTCGGAATTCGCTGTCAATTTAGAAAAGTATCTATTTCAGAAAAAATACCAAAACTATTCAATTTCATACAAGGAAAAAGTGGGCATTTTGGGTTCGATATAATAAGTGATAACAACCCAACAACACGAATAGATGAGCACATATAATATACAGATAATAGAAGTACGAAGTAGGAGCAAGACTTAGAAGAGCCAAGGAGGCAGGACCTGGCCTAAGCCATTATACCGAGCTTTAACAAGGGTCACGGCCCCCTACGGTACAATGATCATCTCCACAAAAACTCAACAACACGAATAGATGAGCACATATAATATACAGATAATAGAAGTACGAAGTAGGAGCAAGACTTAGAAGAGCCAAGGAGGCAGGACCTGGCCTAAGCCATTATACTGAGCTTTAACAAGGGTCACGGCCCCCTACGGTACAATGATCATCTCCACAAAAACTCACTCCTGTCAATGTCAATATATTGGAAAAATATGAATTTTTTCTTTCTTTATAATTTCATGCACCAAACCTTGGGTGAGTGCAAACAAGTAGTAAGTCTTCCCCAGAATGGACGAAAAAAAACTTGGAAGTTCTGTGTACAAGAATGCACATTTGATAGTCTTGACAATTCAGCCTACCAATGATGACTGGACAACATTGGAAATATCTCCATCCATAACGAAAGAAGAAGCATCCCTTTACGAAATTGGAGGGGGGGGGGTTTAAAGCCAGAAAAGCAAGGGATACAGCGAATGTCTATGCATGTTACAAAACTTGCACTGTGGGCTCAAAAACCAACGGTGACAATTTGAAACTCTATCACAGGAGAGGTGGCAGAGAAGAACAGTTTTTGTCTTAAATCTTCTTGTACAATTAATCTTTCAGCATCACATTGCAGTTAATTATTCAGATGAGCCACAGCAGACTGAAAGCATAGAGTGCAAAATCATTCCGATATTGCTTGAGTGAATGACGGAACTTAGTCCTTGATTGTACAGTCTTGTCTGGCACTGAGAAATGCTAACATCATCACACATATGAACTGAACATCATACACTCAGGAAATATCCTGGCCAGACCAAATTCAAAATCTAAATATTCCAGCCCATACATAACTAGATTTATGTCTTAGGAGTCTGCCTCTTCCAACTTCATCCCCAACAGCAGTGAGCGGCACTACACCATGGCAAAAATTCCTGAGTATCAGAAAATTGATTATTCTTAAAGCTTCGGATCAATCTTTTATCAATATACATCTGTAATGGAAAAGAAATCCACCACACTTGAAAGTGTGAGATTTAACCCAAAAAAAATATTTTTTTAAAAATCAGCAAATACACATATTTACACATGGCAAAAAGAGCAGAAAGTAAAGACGTCTCATCCTTCCCATGAACTACTGTGGGATGGGTGGTGAAAGGCATAAATTCGCTTCATCGAGTACGTTATGGAACAAAAGTCCCATCTGTCCTTCTCTTTACAAAAAGCATGATGCAGATTGAAAGACGTATCAGAACATCACAGAAACAAGAAAATGGGGGCGGGGGGTCACAGTACAGTTTGGAATCCTACACATCACCAAAAGAATGTTCTTGATAATCATATTTTACACACACAAAAACTGCATTGAAAACAATTTCTTTGAGTATGTGCACCTTAGTCGAGTGATTAACCAGCTAACCTGTACATCACAGACCGAACAAGCTTTTGCACAAACAGAATGTGCAATATGAAACTGACATCCAATATGCGAGACATTATATCATACGTTGTACCTGAAAGAGAACAACAGATGATGTGTTTTCCTTCTGTAGGTATAAAAAGGTTGAATTTATCCAAAATATCTCATTTTCACCTCATTTGATTTGCATAAGGTAAGGAACACATTGAGCCATAACAGATGTCATAAAAAGATATTTAACAGTCAGAATGAACACAACAAATAAGAGTGAGAAAAAAAAATCAGTTGCAAACCAGGAAAGTGACAAAATATTTCGGAAAAATTAAGAGAAACCAAGTTAATGTAGGAAACTCTTAACAAAGAAAGTGATGTCGAGATCAGTCTACTACTCGCTGCAGTGTACCAAGCCTACAAAACAACATTATTCACTATTAAAAACCGCTGACTTCCACCACTTTCACTCAAAATATCAATAAACTTTTTTTTTTTTTTTTAAATTGCAGGTAAAAAATATCCAGAAACAATACTTACACCCTCTTTAACAAATGACCATTACATAACAGGAGGAAAAAAAACCTAACAATGAAGTACAAAAGGAAAATGTACAGATAGTGTTGACCAATAGAACATTACTGAGATAACTTCTGTTTTAACTGCAATTTGAAAGGAAAACTGTAAACTCTAGACGAAAATGACAACTTAAGTAACTGTAAAACAAGACAACATCATACGGTGCAGTTAAATACAAAATCAAACATCCTGCTACCTCAGACCTTGATCTGCTGGTCCCTTGGGCATAGAAATGTAGAAACTAAACAAAACAATAAAAATATAGTGAATACAGCTACTGGCATTTAAAATACAAGAGTGTATAATACAGAAAAAAAAGGAAGAAAGGACCACAAAAAGGAAAAGTGTCTTACAAAGGCATACATGGAAACACTGCTAAAAGCCATGGCATCATCAGACCATACAGTGAAATAAGCAGTAGTCATACTTTTTCCATTTATTTGAAAGTTCTCATCAATTCTTTAAAAAAAAAAAAAAAAAACACTCTGCAAACAGAAAAAAAGGGGAACAAATTGAATTGAGGGGCAATACAAAAAGTAACACTCAGCCCATCATGGAAGGCAAAGGAAAAATCAATAAAAAGCACCGTATCCTTGAGATTAGCATTTTTTTTCCAAATGATACATCAGAAAGAAACTGACTTAAGTGGAGCTCTAAGCAGTGAAGGCAATAAGAGGATGAGTAAGAAGTTCGCTGTTCAGCATCGCAGCACAAGGCTGCATTTTCAACTGGTTTTGTTTTTTAGAACTTTTGTCTTCAGCCGGTCTATAATATTCAGAACTGGTTGAAGGTACTTGTGGGCAACGCCATGATGCCTCATGCCAGGGAGAAGCAATGCTGCATTCACTGAAAATACAAACAATAAAAATGTCAGTCATTTTCTTCGCAAACAAAAATACCAACTGAAGGCCTAGAGCACAAACCATCTAACTCTGAATTTCCTTTGGATGCTCTTTGTGTTTCAAATACCTAGGAAATCGTTTTACATGTCTTCTACTTATTTTATATCATACCAATCAATCATACCAATACAAATGTACCACATAGTCATGTGAGACCAAAGTATGTATGTCTTCCTGCGAGTTTGGAGAAAATTTTTCCATCTCCTGTTAAAATATCTCCAGACTGACGGTTTGTGCCAAAGGCCATCGATATGTCTTTTCCCTATTTTGCTCATTTAACTCAAACTGTAAAACTATAACTTTCAGCTTTCAGATTCATAACATAAAGGTCTTTACTTTGACTACAAAATCTTCATGTAGTATGCCTTTATATTCGGAGGCCAAGTTTAGTAACATATTCACCTCACAAGAAAGGGGTGGACCAAACCTCTTCTTTCATTTTGTCGTGTCCTAGCTAATAAACGAGCGCAACAGAACCCAAAGTTTCCCAAGTACAGTACTTGCTCATGTGCTACAAACATCTTTGACAACATTTATTGTGAGACAATCAATGCCGTGCGTACATTAGTAGATTATTTTATTCATTTACTGCTAATGTTTTACGCCCCCATGCATGATAATCACAATCAAGTGCCAGATCTGCAACAGACATCAGCCATCAGGCTTCTACATTCATTCCTTTGCTCTGATGCATAAACAGAATATAAAGAGCATTCATGTGGATTTTCAGCAATAAAGAGGGACATCTATCCCAACAATGGCTGTGCAGCACAATTATAACTTCCTAAACAACCCATAATGCTTGTTGGCGCATGTTCTTAACATGAAAACTAAAGTACGGCTTCGAAATTTTTTCCAAAATTGAGCCATTTTTTTTGTTCACAGGAACTCTCTTATGCACCATAATCTGAACAAAACTGCAAACAAATGTAAAGGATAAAGATTGGAAAAAAAATCCTCAGTTTAAGGAGATGCACATCCATATAATAATGGTCAATTTTAGTTTTAGTAGAGGTTTTACGGCGCTCGCAACTGCATAAGGTCATATGAGTGCCAAGGGGTGGATGTCAACAAAGAAGTCCATACAGGGAATCAGACTTACTCTGCTCACCTCTCTAGCTTCAACAGCACAAAGTCCGCTTCGACTATCAAGGCACCCCGGAAATAGTGGGTCACAAGAGTGTGACAAACATACAAAAGAAGTAGAAGAAAAATGACAAAAGTAAGGATAAGGAAAGAAAAAGCAGCAGTTCCCTGTTGCAGATCAGGCACAGTTATGAGC